CTCAGTACTCAGTCTTGTGAGAGGCAATTGACCAAATACAGAGGGAACTTTCAATGAGGTTATTTCCAGCCTCCTCACTCTTTAACTATTAAGACTGTTGTCCAATTTATACGACTGGAAGTGCCTGTATTTTGGTTGGAAAGACGTCAGGTGATGACGTCGCTGTATAGTCCCGTTCGCTGCCAAACTGGTGTTAACACGAGGCAAAGTTCAGTCCCTTACTTCACACACCAATTCAGCAACTTCTTACGAACACGCGGGGACAATGGCTGTATCTTCCTGCGTTGTGGTTTTGTTAATTTCGGCTTAAACGCATGACGTCCCTCCCTCGGCCAGGCGTCGTGAGCCATTGACGCCGGGGCGCAGGGATGCCAGATCTAAATTGCTGAAAGTAGCGAGCTGACGGTCTAAAAGTAGCGAATTTATAATATGAGTAGCACAATTCTTTTTGAAAAATTTGAACTTCAAAAATTTGAAAAATTTCAAATTTTGAAAATTTGGGACTTGAACAGAGGGGCTGTGAGTTAGGATCTTTTAATTGCCTTATAAAATTTAACGAATAAAAAGGTTTTCGTGCCTTAACATCTTTATATTATGATAATCACGACATATCTGCATTAAAATCAGTGTGCAATTCCGGTTTTAGCCTCCACCGCCTTCTCACTTGTTCCCTTGTAACTTGTAACTCACTTGTAACACTTATATGCTGTGCTTCCTATTTTAACCTGCTATGTTAAATGAGATTCTTGTATTGTGATTTGTGTATTTGTACTCACTGAATTTGTGCGCCCCTTGAGGGACTTGAAGTAGGGGGGAGGGGTAGAAATAGCCTAAGCTACTCTATCCCTTTGAGATGTATTTTTTTATTGTCTCAATAAACATACTTGAAGTGGACTTTAATGTTTTTTCGGCGGCTTTATTTCCTTAGTTTCCGAGCTGTTTTCTTTACCATGTGTTGTAATAAACTATTCCTATATTTACAGTTGTTTCTCCCTGTGAAGATTATTAAACAATGGTGATTATAAGGGCGCGGAAGTTCAGCCTGGCCAGGGCCGCCAGCAGGCCTTGGGCCGCCCCGGCAGCTCCCAGTCTTTAATTTGGCACATCTGTGGCACCTTTGTAGGACCTTGGTATAAGCCTAACATGTATATATACACTGGCTGCCTGTCCCCCTACACAATGATTTATTATTACCTATTATTTTATCATTTAATTTAAATATTAAATAAAATAATTCATTAATTATTATAATAAGTACTTAATAATTTAATAATAAGTAGTAAGTACATAAAAATGATTAAAAAGTACAGTTTAGTCATAGGAGATTCCTAGATTGAAATTCACTACCAAATTTCAATATATCCAAGTATTTTTAGTGTGAAATGCTGTTATTATATGCATAAATTGTTGTTTTAATAATATTACGCTTAACCACTTGGGCTGGACGGTAGAGCAACGGTCTCGTTTCCTACAGGTCCGCGTTCAATCCCCGACCGCCCAAGAGGTTGGGCACCATTCCTTTCCCCCGTCCCATCCCAAATCCGTATCCTGACCCCTTCCGAGTGCTATATAGTCTAATGGCTTGGCGCTTTCACTTGATAGTTCCCCCACCCCCCTGAATAATATTACGAGAGCAGTATTTACGGGCTATTTATGCCCGTGCCACCTCTTGGGTGCTTAATCTTCATCAATCGAGAGCAGTACGTCCTAACCAGACGTTATATGATGATATCCTGAATAGTTGATAAATAAAAGTAATTGCAGAACTCCAGTTATCTAATACTTATCATAAATGGTATAAAACCTTATCAAAAGCCAAGGGATTTGTAGATCAGTGTTTAAAGGGAATTCAGAAGTAATAATAACACAGCTGATGCCATCTGTCGGCAGAAGAGAACACTATCAACTGGCTGGTCAACAGTGGCCATAAGATACAGCTTACGCCATCTGTTGACATCAAATTACACCTATAACAAATTACCCTACAAAATACAACTAACGCCATCTCTGTTTTTTCCAACGCACTATAAATAGCCAAACAGCAACCCATAAGGTGGGTTGTTGTGCTCGGGTAGGAGGTTCCAAGCTCCGCCCACAGATGGTATGGGGTGCATAATAAATGGCATATCATTGGTAGAAACTTTTTGTTGACATTCACACAACAGCCAATCACAGAAAAGGATCAGCTAAAGGCTCCATCCACTTAATAAATCATCTTTATTCAGCACACCATCCTTGCTTATGATATTCTGTTTCAACTTTAATCTACCTAAAAAGTGAAGGGTTAAGTATGTATAAGCATTAATATAGTGATAATTAAATACTGCAGGATGTAACGGGTGTTACAGGATCATGGGCTGGCTACCTGACTTGTGACGTCATCAGTGGGAGTTGCCTCACACAAATAATGATACGCTGCTCTGCCCTCTTATTCGAGTAAATTATTCAGTTAGATGGAGATTTCTGTCAGGTGCAAAACAGAAATTGTTGTTCTTTTTCACAACAACCTTGTTGTTGTGCACAAGGACCTATTTCTTAGTTAACATTTTATTCATAAAAGAGTGTTGGTATTACCCGCAACAGCCAATCACAGGAAAGTATTTCTGGAAGCTCGGCCTCCTTATGGACTCAGCACATCACTCTAGCTCATGGCTCTCTGTTTCATCTCTTGTATATACAAACTATGACTTTTTTCGATTACTGTTATAATTAATAATAATATGAGATATAAAAGTTTTTACACAAAATGACTAAATTCTGCCATTAAATGGACTTTGTCTGGTATACATACAAACATACACCAATTTATTACCATTCATCCATTATTAATTTTAAATGTAATGTATACTGTCTAGTTTTTTTCCTCTCGCCATTAATTGGTGCAATATTTGAAAGTTGTCTATTAATTTATTTATCGATCTATCTATTATCTTGTACTTATATTTACAAGTTTCTGTGCTTGGAAGAAAACTCTGCATTGAATTGGGACTAATTTATTAAATAATATTATTTAGTATTAATTAATATTTACAATTATTATTAATTACAATTATTTATAGCTTAGTTACGTTCATGTAACTCGCAATCGTATTAACATTAATAGCCCAAATTAGTACATCTTGCTTTTAAATTAGCCCAAAAAGTAGCAAGTAGCGAAATAAAAAAAAATGGGAGCGCGAGGCTCTCAAAAGTAGCCCAATTCGCTATTTGTAGCCCAATCTGGCAACACTGCCGGGGCGTCGTGGTGGGCAGCGCTGCTGGCGTCGGCCTGGTCAACTATCCCACTTACTCAATTTTTAATCTACAGCTGTTATAATTTCACTCCCGCTCTAACGTATTAATAATTTATTTACTTATATGAATGTATTAAAAAGAATGATGGTAGGAAATCACACGATTACTGATATCAATGTTTTATGTCGAGATTAAATATGTAGTTCTATATATCCACAATGGGTTAGCGCATCTCACAATTTCTTACTTTATTCCTAGAAGTACAGTAGTAATTTGTCTCTTCTTTGGTTCTTTCGGGGTGTTTCTACATTTTGAATATCAGTCGCTGAAAGACAAGTGTGTTAGACTCCTGTAGTCAAGATGTATGTTGTCAATTTATCCTGATCTTTTCTGTTTAATTTATCAGCCTGTTGAATATCTCAATAACTCTATATGGCCGGATTTGTCGTCCATCGCTAGTCTCCCGTGATGAACTCTGTATTAAATTATCTTCACATAGCATAGTAAACATGTTAGGAATACAAGGCTAGGATTCATATTTATGAAATAATGTCAATTTTTGTTTAAAACTGTCATTGTTGTGGTTGTTGTCGAATAGTTCCATTGTCTCTCTAGTGTTGCACTAAATATTTGGGAAAGTAGCTTGCTTAGGGTTTCAGCATTACCTTTCAATATATTGGGGGATATGTATTCGGGGAGATAAGTCTCATACCTTCAGCTCTCTCAGAGCCTTAGTAACTCCTCGCTTGTTACACCAATCAATGGAAATATTTCCTGGTTCGATATGCCACTTCTGAGCTCCAGTAGAGTGCTTACTTTGGTGTGGAGTAGCAAGGTATGACACACAGTGTGGAGTAGCAAGGCATAACACACGGTGTGAAGAAGCAAGGTATGATACACGGTGTGGAGTAGTAAAGTATGACACACGGTGTAGAGTAGCAAGGCTTAACACACGGTGTGAAGAAGCAAGGTATGATACACGGTGTGGAGTAGTAAAGTATGACACGCGGTGTAGAGTAGCAAGGCATAACACACGGTGTGAAGAAGCAAGGTATGATACACGGTGTGGAGTAGTAAAGTATGACACACGGTGTAGAGTAGCAAGGCTTAACACACGGTGTAGTAGAGTAGCAAGGTATGGCACACAGTGTGGAGTAGCAAGGTATAACACACGGTGTGGAGTAGCAAGGTATGATACACGGTGTGGAGCAGTAAAGTATGACACACGGTGTAGAGTAGCAAGGCTTAACACACGGTGAAGCAGAGTAGCAAGGTATGACACACGGTGAAGTAGAGTAGCAAGGTATGACACGGTGTGGAGTAGCAAGGTATGACCCACGGTGTGGAGTAGCAAGGTATGACCCACGGTGTGGAGTAGCAAAGTATGACCCACGGTGTGGAGTAGCAAAGTATGACACACGGTGTGGAGTAGCAAGGTATGACCCACGGTGTGGAGTAGCAAAGTATGACACACGGTGTGGAGTAGCAAAGTATGACCCACGGTGTGGAGTAGCAAAGTATGACACACGGTGTGGAGTAGCAAGGTATGACCCACGGTGTGGAGTAGCAAGGTATGACCCACGGCGTGGAGTAGCAAAGTATGACCCACGGTGTGGAGTAGCAAGGTATGACCCACGGTGTGGAGTAGCAAAGTATGATTCAAGGTGTGGAGTAGCTTGGCAATAACATACAGTTTTCTGTGGTAATTCGTGACGCAAGAGTTGGGCTAAGAGTGACGCAAGAGTCGGGTTAGTGCTTGGTGAGGACACGAAGGCAGTAGTTTAACGCCGTGGTTATATATATATAAGGTGTCAGCGGGAGGTTGAAAGCAGTGTGGTGCTGAGGGCCAGATTAACAGTACGACTCCCTACACCTGCATCTGTTTCTCGACCCTTTGGTACAGGTAAGTCACCGGTTTAACTAGGAACATAGTGAACAATGGTTGATTTTATATGGTAATTGTAACAAGGACTGGCGGATGATGGTAGACTTCACTTTGTAGGGGTTGGGTTATCTTGAAGTTATCTTGAGATGATTTGGGGGCTTTAGTGTCCCCGCGGCCCGGTCCTCGACCAGGCCTCCACCCTCAGGAAGCAGCCCGTGACAGCTGACTAACTCCCAGGTACCTATTTACTGCTAGGTAACAGGCGCATCAGGATAAAAGAAACTCTGCCCATTGTTTCTCGCCGGCGCACGGGATCGAACCCGGGACCACAGGATTACGCGTCCAGTGTACTGTCTGCTTAGCCGCCGGCGCCGGGAACCAGATTTCGAAACACTGGTCGAGCTACATAGTGTTTTAAAAAGGCACTACGGGCTCACCATAGCCTGTGCTACTTTGAACTTAGTTCCAGGTAGCGAATCTTTAACAACACCAACATACATAGTGTTGTTTTTAAAGTTTTGTTGTTTTTGTCCAGAGTGTAATTCAGAGATTAGGAAGACTCACATATATACACCATGAAGCTGGGTACGCCGAAGAATCTTATCATGCTATGTTAATTTGTATTCAGATCGAGTTCCATGCTTTAATAAAGGTAGAACAAAACTTTAGTGTCATATCTTTTCGGTTTTTGTAGTAAACAAATTCTAAGCCTTTTAACAACAATGCTGTTGTATAACCAACAAATAATTAGCGATATTGATTCTACAATACAAGTGGATTACCAGATTGTTATGCTGCCAGGCGCGTGGGGTTAGTCAGGCAACTTCTGTACTCTCAAACAGCACATCACACTCTGACGTTAAGTCAAAATCCCCAACGGACAAAATATAATGTACTGTAAGTCATAGCGGGTCGCAAAAGTTCATGTTTTCTATGCGTGGGTCGTCGGTTAAGCTAGGCTCGGGCTATTGAATACATCATTATTCTGTCCGCTGTTGACTACTCGAGAGGACGAGATGTGTAGTCGCCGCTGAACTGCTGTGTGGCGAGGGTGCAGGATCTTGGTGGCTTATTATTTATATTATCAGTGTAAACTCAGTAAATAAGAACACTGTCGTGATCTCACACACTTCATTACTGAATGTCCAGGCATTAGACTCTTCAGACCTGCCGGTATGAGGTACCTGGAGCTTTGCAAGTACTTTATTCATAATGTTCTTGAGCATAGCCTCATAATGCATTTCTTCCTTGAAGCTGAAGGTTCTGAAGGATGAAGACTGCATTGTAAATTAACTCCACAAGTACGATTAAGACGATGTGTAATTCTTTTTCTCTCTTATTCTTATTGGGTATAGGGTGCTCGATAAACTACCACTCACAGTATGAGTATGAGGATATGAGGCTGCACAATAAAATACCGCTCACAGGATGATTATATGGGCACCCAATAAACTCACAGAATGAGTATGGGGTTCACAATAAACTAGACGCAATTGACAATAATCAAATCAAGATGTGATCCAAATTTGTTTCCCCTCCAGCAGCCTAACATGTCGGACGACGACGGCTTCGACCATTTCTTAACAAAGTTGGGATTCGGACGATGGCAGATAATCACCCTAGCTACTACCTTTATGAGTAAGTACTGTTTACTTAATTTATATAACTCGTATTCAATTCTCTATTTATTAGTACAGTTGTGTGTTATTCATCTTCAGATTTGCAACCTAAGACCAGAGTTGGGAAGTCAAATTGTTAAGATTTCGCCAGAAAAAAAATAAATTTTCGAGTGAGGGTTAAGCAAAATAATTATCAGAAGGATTAAGCCAGTATGATTATATACTACTAGGAAGGGATATGAGTACATAGTGACGGAACGGATTGGACTATGGGGGATCGAACGTCGACCATGCAAAAACCCAGATAGTCGCTCTACCGACCTGTCCAAGTTGTTGGGTGTATACCAGTCATGAATATGGCTGAAGAATTTTTTCCTATTACGTTTATTTTTAAATATGTTGTGACAGTGTATCCTTGGCATAAATTCACGCGAGACCACCAGCTAACTGGAACTTAACTGCCAAAGTTCAATGAAAAATTTAAGGAATTATAGAAGCCAATAGGCTTAGAGAGAAGGAATAGCGAAGAACAGGATGAAATTAGGTAAATAGCTGAAAGAGGCAAACTGAATCAGAGGTTAGTAAAGTGAAAGGAATGTCAGTAAAGTGAGGGACAACAAAGGAGGAGAAGAACCAGTAAAGTGCGGGACAACAAAGGAGGAGAAGAACCAGTAAAGTGCGGGACAACAAAGGCAGGGAAGGAGTCAGTAAAGTATGGAGTAACAAACGAAGGGAAAGAGTCAGTAAAGTGAGTGACAACAAAGGAAGGGAAGGAGGTCAGTAAAGCGAAGGGGGAAGAATAACAAATGAAATGGAAGTGAGTAAATAATTACCAAAAGAAGGCACCAAGCCGGGAAGCCTATGATGTAACACATTGAGAACAAAGGAATGGGGAAGAGAGGGGAGGGGGGGGGTCAAGGACAGAGACGCTGAGGCGTCAGGGTGACTGGCAGGACAAGTGGCAGACAATAGCCAGAGCAACTCATAGCAACCCTTAACGTTCCTTAACACATAACTCAGAATGACCTACGTCACCAGCATACCTCACCTTACTATATCTATGCAAACATATGCTTAAGGAAAACGCAGCACATAGTACGTAGATAGATAATAGATCGTAACTACTAATTTCAATAGTAGTTACGAATAGCTACTATTCGTAACTATACGTGACAAAATGGTACAGCCTTATATAAAAACATAATGTTTAATAATTGAGTAACGAAGCTCTGATTTGGATTTTCGATTGAAAAATAGTTTAGATTTATGCTTAATAAGTTGATAATGAATAATATCCCATGATATCCCATGAATCATATCACATATCCCAATACATGAATATGTATTCTCACAATCCCAATGTACCTTCTTGTATATATATAAATGAAATAAAATAAAATAAAAATATCCATTCTTGTCCATCTTGACATTAAACTCTATAATAATTTGTACTTAATTTTCAATTAAAGGTACCATTAAGTATATCTTACGGTTTATCTTTAATATAGCTGACCATTAACGTGTTGTATGTTTACTCTAATGTAATGTATGTTTAGCGGAGTGTTTAACATACGTTTAGAAGAGTGTTTAACATATGTTTAGAGGAGTGCTTAACATATGTTTAGAGGAGTGTTTAACATACGTTTAGAAGTGTTTAACATATGTTTAGAGGAGTGCTTAACATATGTTTAGAGGAGTGTTTAACATATTTTTAGAAGAATGTTTAACGAATGCTTAGATGAGAGTTCAGTGTATGCTTAAACTAGTGTTTAATGTATGTTTAGTGAAGTGTTTAACGTATTCTGTATTTAAATGAATGATAAGACTTTGTTGACTGCGAGACTTGGTGCAGTGGTTAGCATGTCTGTTATAAAAGATTTAATAAAATATATATATAAACACGACATTGTTAAGGCCTTGAAGGTAAATCTGTGTGATATCGCCCGATCCCTCAATCATATCATCATACACTTCTCGATAAATTACAATTCATCATTGTGTAATACGATAACACTAGGCTCTTAACCGCATGCGGGATATATATGTCCTTATAAGTTAAGGACAATATCTGCCCGGGATATATACACGGAGAGGTGTATTACTTGATGGTTGGTGAGTGAGTACTAGTGTGGTCCTTAATAACCCTTTAAAGGTTGATTGGCCTTCAGTCCAACACCAAGCCGAACCAATATCGGCCATAATATTCGTCCTTGGACACGATATATGACACTCACGACTACATAAGATGGTTTTTTTGTTATTAACACATTTAGGTACATCTGCATTTGTGCAGCTACCTCAGACTATATGAAAGGGAATACAGCGCTTTTTTTTAGTTAAAAAAAATAGCTACGTGATGCTAAAAATCCCCATCACACAAGATGGTTAGTCATACAAAGGCATGTGATAAGTAGTCTGCATTAGTGCATTATGAGGATATCATGAACCCAAGAGTGAATAAGTAGCAGTGATACTGAAAGTCCCCATCTCGCAGGATGGTTAGTCATACAGGGCCATACGTTCAGTAGTCTGCACTGGCATATCCTCAAGAACACGGGAGTGAATAAATAAAGTAATTGCAAAGCTCCAGGTACCTCATGCCAACGGGTTTGAATGGTCTAATAACTGGGCATTCAGTGATGTAGTGCGGGAGATCATGCCGCAGTCCCTGCTCACGGAGTTTGCACCTGAAGTGCTCAGGATAGGGAGATCCGTCACCTATAGCCACCTGCCACAGGTAACGGTAACCCAACCTGATCCTGGCAACCACTGTGTCGCTCAATTTGGTAGACGTTTTGTACTGCCCCTAAACATAGGTTTCAGATCTGAACAAATCATTGCTTTTTATACTGGTGCTTTCAGGTCGTTGGGAGTCAGTAATTTCTCTCCTATCAGACTCGAGTGTTTGGTACAATATAGTTTTGACAGTAGAGATGGGGATACCTATGTCTAATTCAACTTCATCTTTATTACACGCTAATTTGGCTGCAATGTCTGTATCATTATGATGGGTTATATTTATGTGTGATGGTATCCATACAAAGGAGATTCGTAACCCTTTACTCTGTGCAGCAATTAGGTCATTTATAATTGCTAGTATGAGGTTTTTGCTGTCGATCTTCCAGAAGCTTTCGATTGCTTGAAGAGCAGACTTTGAATCACAAAATATTATGCATAAGATGAACTTTACAAGATGAACATTATCCTCAGTTACAGTCTACTCTCATCATCGTTTTTATATTGTTGAATTTCTCTAATTTTGGTGTTGTTTCAGGTCGGGCTTCCACACGGGGGCTTACGTTTCCTTGTGATGAGTGTATATATGTGTATTAATTTACTAATAGGCTTTTTAATTACTATAAGCAAATAAACCCAACCACTACTAATCCCATAATAACATTGTGACGTTAATCTGAAAGAATGGAGCAGTGGCTATTATGGCTGGTGTTAAGCCAATCACATAAAATAAGAAAAAAGTAAAATAAAGTAAATAAGACTGTTTCTGATCTCTTTACGGTGTGAGAGCTGCGGGTAAATTCCAAAAGATTGAAAATGTTCCAGTGGTCTGTCGGGCATTTCTCCACAGTGCGGCTTAGTGTAGATGGCGCTGATGTGCAGGTAACTATCGCCGGCAGTCTCAAACAAGTAGTTAAGGGCTGGTCGACCGGCGAGTGGCGCTGGGCCCCCAGACAGGTGTGTAGGTGTCTCAGGTACTTGAAGGGTGGTGGTGGTGCCTTGTCTAGACACAGGCTTCTGAGCACATATTGTTGTTGTTGGTGAGGTTGACTTCTTATGCTGGAGTATGTTAGATATGTTGTTGAATAGGCGGTAAAGGAATAGGCAGGGATCTCCTTGCCTAAGCGGGAGATTATCGTAACAACATTTCTTAATATATATAGGCTTTACCCTCAACAGTCGTGATGGTCCTGCCTGTTCACCTAATCGGATCGCCTTTAGTCAGTGCTCCAGTGGCTTTCCGCTGCTTCACTGATGCTCAGTCGTCTGACGGCGCGCCACACTCGCTTCCTTATAGGTAACTACAAATTCAGTGAAGTTATGTAAAAAATCAATCTACTTGCCCATGTTACCAAGTCATTCTGCCATTAATCAAATACTCTCAAAATTAAGCCAAATGTTAAATACATTATATAAACATAATGGTACTGAATTTCTGTTTTTCTAAAAGCTGAAAATAGTAAACAAAAATTGTTATTAATAATTATTGTTTATGGTACACATGTTCAAGATTAGACACATGTTTCAAAGAATTATTTGATCCATGGTCTGGTTTATACATCACAGACTCTGGAATATTATACATGCATCTATTGATGTATAAACCTTGTGATAAGTTCATTTATGATAAAACTTGGAAGGTTAAATTACTAATGAAAAAATAGGCTTCGATGTCTTCAGTTCAGTTGGGTATAAATGTAGAAATTAACTCGCTTGAATCTTTTAGTTAATAAATTATTGAGATAATTTTAGTAAAATCATATTTATTATTCGGAATTATGGCACAAGTTGGCATGCCATGTATGCAACAGTTTTATAGAACAATATGTCTATAAATATGTCCACTGCGGGCGATGAGTCACAATAACGTGGCTAAAGTATGATGACCAGACCACACACTAGAATGTGAAGGGACGACGACGTTTCGGTCCGTCCCTTCACATTCTCAAGTCGATTGTGAGTCACAATCGACTTGAGAATGGCCCAGGACGGACCGAAACGTCGTCATCCCTTCAAATTCTAGTGTGTGGTATAAACATGTCCACGGCCTTGTTTTCAAGTGATGCCTTATATTTGGTGTACATTCTACCACAAGAGAAGGCAACGACTCGTCCAACAGCAGCCAAGTCTACTACAACAGTCAGTGTCTTGAGCCTCACAACCTGTCTGTCACTCTGGAAGCCTCAGACATCCCGCGTGGCTCAGCCCGTCACAAGACCAGCATGTCTTCATGTCCCATCATTGAATATGACACTTCCGTCTTCTCCTCCACAGTTGTATCTGAGGTGGGACCCATGTAATAGTGATTGAATTATGAATTTCATATCAATTTTACAAATTATTTGCGTGATTTACTGTACTAATATTTTAAACTTAAAGAAAACTGATATTTACTTTGTGTAACGTTCTTCTTACTCCATTCAATTCATTTTAAACAGCACAAGTATGACAAACAAATACCAAATATAGTTATTTTTTTTAAATAAGGGAATTTAAATTGTGAGTGAAGGTCATCCGTTTCAGTTCTGCTTCAGGTTATGTTTAATGAGTGTTCCTTCAGTATGATCTAGTGTGCGAGGATCTGCCACTTCAGCCTTTCTACCAGATGATGTTCAACGTTGGAGGGATACTTGGAAGTTTCATTGGTGGGCACATTGGAGACAGGTGAGTGACACCATTGCACACTTTCTTACAGAAATTACTATACATAACTTGGTTTGGTGTTGGGCTTAAGGCTCATCAGCCATTGGAGGGTTATTTAGACCACCATAAGTGCACACTGGCCAACTAGTACACCGAGACGCGAGTTTCACCATATACTGTATATCTCTTGAGATGCATGGTGGCTACACTGAACAATTTGGTGGATATTGATGCAGACCACTTCTTTAAAAGGTCAGATGTAATGCTTGAACAAGGAATAACGATTGCAAGCTCAACGATTGCAAGCAACAATGCAGGACAGAAAACAGGAGATGCTTTTTTAATTATAGAGTTATAAAGCCATGGAACGGCTTACACCCTTAAGCCGTAAATACCAAAACACGGCTGAATTTTAAAATCCAGATTCATAAAATCAAGACAAATGGTGGGGGGATCTTTGATAAGTCGCCGGCTTCCTGTCCTCGTCGAGGCTACTAGATAGTGATTGAGTATTTTATAAAATAAAAGTTTGTGTAATGTTTAGGTTTTAAAGAACTTACGGAGTTAAACTGTCGTCCACATTAGAAACATAGTAAGTGTAAACATTCATATTTCAAATCTGAATATCAATGTTTCCAAACGCTTTTTGTAATGTCAAGATACAAAATTGTTACACACAGAAATCACAATAGCGTAATACATCAAATAAACGGCCCACGGCCCTTGTTGATTTGTTCAACAAAATTGTGTTTACATTGTTTGTTAGGATATATTAGTTAATTTTCATAGCTAATTAAAAATACAATTCTAAACAAGAAAGGTCTTAAGTTTTATTCCTCCAAATGTTTACTTGATGACTTGATTTTTTCCCAGGTGGGGCCGCAGAAAAGCCGTGCAAATTGGCTGTATAGCTAATATCCTGTCAGTGCTGGGTACCGCATTAGTACCAGTCTATCCCTTCATATTAGTAATGCGGATCATCACAGGCTGCGCATGCGTAGGTACTCTTATACCTGCCTGGAACTTGGGTAAGTCTCATATTAGACAATGATAACAAGTAAATTAAGTAATTCTGGAAGTATTTCAGAAGGTGAAATATCCAGTGAACACAATCTGAAAACATTTTCAAGATTCATAGATATATTCTCTACAAAGCGAATATATCCTGTATCAGGTTAGAATATCCTGATATTGGATATTCTTCCAGGTGAGAATATCCTCTACCAGGTGAGAAAATATCTACTCAATGTTCCGACAATTCCAGAGTCTAAGTGTTACCTAATCAATGTTCCCTAACAGTTTTGTTTAAAAGGTTATCAAACCCATTTTTTCCGGCAGTTCTGGAGTCGACGCCATCGAAGCGACGAAGCCTGGTTGGAATGCTGTCCGGGTTGCCATATTCTGTTTGTGTGGGGGCTTTCGCAGGCGTGGCTTACTGCATCAGGACATGGCGCTATCTGCTGCTCGTCTGCTCTTCTCCAGTTCTTATCCTCATTCCATTGTCATTGTAAGTATACGGTGTATATTTATTAAATTATATAACTTACAATATAAGCAACTAAAAGCAACATACCAATGCAATATTCCTTGTATTCTAATAGCTTTAAGCGGTGCTCGTCTAACATGATTGAATCTATACTCTTTGCAGAATTCTTACATAACCCCGCGTTCTGCAATCGGGCAATATCTCTAGTAACGTCAAAAGACTTCAGTAAATGTCATCACTATCACTAGTTATTATTTCTAAGGTGTGACGTTGATAATTATCCTGTCAAATATGTGATCTTAATCTGACCTTCATAACATCTTCTAGTTCAAACCTTCACGAAATATTTGTCTCTCATAAAAATATTAAAAATATATCACCGATCTTGTCAAACTCATCCTCCTTCACAGAATAACTATTTACCGAATTTTAAATCTTCATTAAATTCTTAATATTTGTTTTATATATTTGGATTTAGTCCTAGTGCCAGATTCTGGAACTGGTTATTTTATCCAATGCTAACATGTCATTAATATTTACTAGTCACTGACAAGATATGTAATATCAGCATCTTTCATCAAGCTCCACCAACTTCTCATCTATCAGCAACATTTGACGACTTCATAAATGATATCAGCCTTCACTAGTCACATATATAAAATCAATCTGAAGCAACTCATCATTAGCTACAAAATATTGTTAGTTGCACATACTACACGATTCTCATTATCATTGTGGACAAGTCGCCCCGGTAGTTGATCCATAAGGGCAGGGCCGAGAAAGCCACTACAGTTGTATATAATACATTGTTCTCAACAGCATTGTGGACGAGTCGCCCCGGTGGCTGGTTCAACAGGGCAGGGCCGAGGAAGCCACTACAGTTGTATATAATAGTGTTCTCAACAGCATTGTGGACGAGTCGCCCCGGTGGCTGGTCCAACAGGGCAGGGCCGAGGAAGCCACTTCAGTTGTATATATAATACAGTACATTGTTCTCAACAGCATTGTGGACGAGTCGTCCCGGTGGCTGGTCCAACAGGGCAGGGCCGAGGAAGCCACTTCAGTTGTATATATAATACAGTACATTGTTCTCAACAGCATTGTGGACGAGTCGTCCCGGTGGTTGGTCCAACAGGGCAGGACCGAGGAAGCCACTACAGTTGTATATAATACATTATTCTCAACAGCATTGTGGACGAGTCACCCCGGTGGCTGGTCCAACAGGGCAGGGCCGAGGAAGCCACTACAGTTGTATATAAAACATTGTTCTCAACAGCATTGTGGACGAGTCGCCCCGGTGGCTGGTCCAACAGGGCAGGGCCGAGGAAGCCACTACAGTTGTATATAATACATTGTTCTCAACAGCATTGTGGACGAGTCGCCCCGGTGGTTGGTCCAACAGGGCAGGGCCGAGGAAGCCACTACAGTTCTGCAAAAAGCTGTTCGTCTGAACAATGTGAAGCTTTCAGAAAACGTTTATTCCATAGTGAATAATATAATTGAGGTAAATATGATTGAAATCACAATGCTATTATAATTCATATCCCAATGTTATTATGGTTGATATCCCATTGTTATTATGATTGATATCCCAATGTTATTTTGGTTAATATGCCAATGTTATTATGATTGATATCCCAATGTTATTATGATTGATATCCCAATGTTATTTTGGTTAATATGCCAATGTTATTATGATTGATATCCCGATGTTATTATTATTTTTATCTTAATGTTTATTATAGTTGATATCTCAACGTTATTATGGTTGATATCACAATATTATTATGGTTGAAAACTTAAATCACAATGTTTTTACAGTTGATATCCCAATGTTATATCGTAAAATTGTTTCCGCTGTTCGGAAGCCTCATTGAATTAGAACACTAAGTCGGGAGAAGGAAAGAGAGAAAGAGATTATTTGAAGGCAACGTTTGACTTCTAAGCATTTTTCCTCCGACATAAAAATTTATCTCGCGAGTAGCCTAACTTCAATTGACGCGTTACTACTGATCACCTGCTATACTAAGGGGTAGAAATAGCCTAAGTTACTCTATCCCTTTGACATGTATTTTTTTCTTGTCTCAGTAAACATACTTGATCTTGAACCTACTCTACTCTCCTTGTTGACCTCAATGCACACCCCAAGAAGATTCCGTTCCAATAATATCATATCCTCAGGCCAGCAAGAGAAAAAATCGAGTTGAAAGCGAAGCACCTACGTCATCTGGCCTGGTGGAGGTTTTTCGTCAGCTGTCTCTGTATGTCCGTAGCCCGAGCATGAGGACCATCCTGCTAGCGACCTCCCTGCTCTGGTTCCTTCAGAGCGGCCTCTACCTGGGTGTCGCCATCAATGCCAACAACTTTACCAGGTAAACGAACAAATCCACAAGGGCCGTGACGAGGATTCGAACCTACGTCCGGGAGCATCCCAGAGACCGCCTTAATCATTGTTCATTTGATGCATCACGTTAATGTGATCTCTGTGTGTAGTTTACCAGGTACTTCGTATTAATTGGAATATTTTAGCCTAACCCCAATTCAACACAAATTTACTAGTCGACTAACCTACAAGACACTGTTCTAACCCTGTGACAGATATACTTCCAACATTCGTATCTGCTGGGCATTCTTTCTTTGAGATATGTACTTTTTTATGTTCAAATGTCCATATAAATATAGATTATTTTCTATTTGTACGACGATTTGTTGAAGCTAAGAATCACAAATTATTGGCATTATTTTTGGATGTTTGATATTTACTGACATATAGGCATGCACAATGAAATCACATTAATGTGATGTAGCAGTGAGAAAATCAGCAAGAACCATGAGGAGGATTCGAACCCGCTCACCACCCATGTTAGTTATAGGCTTCAGATGTAAGCCTCAGGAATCCCAGAGGGTTCAGTGGAGTCCCAGGTTGTTGCTGGGACAACCTGAGACCTCAAGTTGTTCCATCCATGTCGTGACGTAGTGGTTACTCCCGCTAATATGAGAGTACCAAGTCAGCGGGTTCGAATCCTCCTCATGGCTTCTACTAATTTTGACATACAAGCATATTACTTTTTAATTGCTGATGATATATATATATATATATACATACACTGAAGGGGTGTACTGCGCTTCTCGGTATATATACAGTTAAGAGTTAACTTTTCGGCTCTGGGCAATGTCCAGAACCAAGGTATTCTTGTTGGTTGGTCAGGACGCACTTGTGGCTGCCTTAATTAATAACTCTTCAGAAGTTGATAGGCATTAAGCCCAACACCAAACCAAAGTGTCGTTAGTTATCAACACATCCATGTTTGCTGTGGCCAGCCAGAAGAAAGTGTACATGAACGAAGATTTTTTCCTTATCTTTTAGCACCGACCCTTTCCTGTACGTGGCGCTCACGGGGTTGATGGACGGGATTGCAATACTAGTGACCACCCCAGTCACACCCTACCTTGGCCGACGCACCATAGTGGGCCTGGGGCTCTTTGGTGGAGGCGTATTACTTTTCCTGGATCTTTTAGTATCAACTGGTAAGTTCTCAATTATGTGCAGCCATTTTGCATCTGATGCCCCTGTACCTGGATGGGGTTCTGGGAGTTCTTCCACTCCACAAGCCCGGCCCGGGGCCAGGCGGGATTTGATGCTTTCTTGGTGTTTTCATATCAAAATGTAATTTATTTGATTCTTTTCCGTGCCTTCATAGATAGTGAAAGTTGATAAACTGGTTTTGATTTTTGTTTTTACTGTTTGTTTTGTGTATATTATCCTAATGCTCCTCTTCATAGTTTTTTTATCTTTATTTAAGAAAATACAATATAAATCATATATACATAAGTTTTACAAGGTAATACTACCTTACATATACAGTAGTATAATTCTCAGTAAACAAGTGTTTCATTATCACAGAACATGATCTTTAAAACCCCTAAATGTTATACTTATTGTTCTTTAAATGATTTACAAATTTGGAGATTATATTTACATTAATTTACAGGGGAAATTATTATATTTATATATATTTTATAAAATTCTCAGTAAACAAATTTTCCTTATCACCGAGCATGAGCCGGAAATATTATAAGAGGTTTTGGGTTGTTCTGGCATGCATTGTCAGCAGTGATTAAATCTGGGATATTATTACGATTTTCAGATTATTATTGGGCCAAGTGGATCCTTGTAATGGCAGGTTTTCTGATGGTGGCAGGAGCATTCCAAGTAAGTTCTTTCCATAATTTTTTAATTAACTTTTCCTTTAATTTGTCAAATATCAATGTTAACACTGGCATTGAAGAATGGGAGGAATGCAGCTTATATTTAATACATGACATAACTAGTGTCCATACTTGGTTACATGGCAATTATGGCAGCGAGAAAGTTAATTAAACTTTTCCGAAGCTAAATATATTGCCTAACTTTACCTTACCCCTTATTTTATTTACCATACCTATTTGACTCAAGGTAATACCTTGAATCATCACTTGGGGAGTGATGGTCTCGCTTCTTGCATATCGGTGTTCAATCCCCGATCATCCAACTGATTGGGCATCATTCCTTTCCTCCGTCCTTTTCTAAATCCTTAGCCTCTACAAGTGCTATATAGTCGTAATAACTTAATAATTTCTCCTGGTAATTATTCTCCTGACATTGAACTAAATTACACATTTTAATCTGATGTTCATGATCAAAAGTACATAACTTCTCGCTAGAATATGATTCAACTTCAGTTGCTACTCCTAAGAGACAGTCACCTTCGATCGCCGAACAGTTATACACAGATAAATCACAGTAGCGTGATATATCAATGAGAAAATCCACAGGAGTATCTCCATAGAGCGAGTGTCCGGGAACACCCAGTGGTTCGAATCTGCATCATGGCTCCTGTGGATTTTCTCAATGAATATTATATTTCTAATATTATAAGTTTGCAGTAACTGATAGTTTACTTGTGGAGCGTAAATATGTTTAGCATTTGCATTTGGTTACTGTGTTTTGTTAATATTATTGGCGACTGTGTTTACTATGTATCTACTGTTTAAGCGGTTGTGGATGAAATTATGTTGTTGTGTTTATGCTTTTATTCATAATGTTCTCATAATAATGTTTTCATTCATAATGTTCTCATAATAATGCTTTAATTCATAATGTTTTCAAAATAATTCTTTTATTCATAATGTTTTCATAATAATGCTTTCATTCATAATGTTTTCATAATAATGCTTTTATTCATAATGTTTTCGCAATAATGTTTTTATTCGTAATATAACGTACGAGGTTGAACACAGAGTATGTCCATTATAATATTTGATGTTTTCTTTCACTCTTTATAATTCCCCGAGTACCAAAGATTAGTTAAGTTATGCTTTGAGTGAGTTCTTTCATACCTCTGCGACTCTGCGATTTAGATAACAGAAACTGTTATCTAAATTGATATATTTAGGTCAGGCCATTTAGCAGATGTACATACAACTATTTTAATTGCATAGACAAACTTATGCCCTAAAAATGTGTTCATCGTGAAACTCATTTAAAAAAAATGAGTTCCACTTTCAGTGTCTTAAATCTACATTTCTTTTACATTTCACACATAATAAATTACACACAGTTATATAATAAATTTTTTATCAGTTCATGAATATTTTTTTGGTCTGTGTTACATGATAAACATTATGTATATCATCTTCAGACCGTTGTAAATAATATAACTGATCTCTCAGGTGAACTTTGTGTTCGCTCCGGAGCTGTTTCCCACAGAAGCCCGGACACGAGGCTTTGCTTTTGTCAACATGATGGGCAGCATTGGATTCATGTTTGCTCCCCTCGTTACCACCATGGTTGTAAGTACACTCCCCCATGTTACTGTGGTTGTAAGTACACTCCCCCTTGTTACTGTGGTTGTAAGTACACTCTCCTTGTTACTGTGGTTGTAAGTACACTCCCCCATGTTACTGTGGTTGTAAGTACACTCCCCCTTGTTACTGTGGTTGTAAGTACACTTCCGTAATTACCACCATAGTTGTAAGTACACTCGCCTTCCTTCTACGATAGTTATAAGAACAGGGCTGTGTTTGGTTAAAAAAAAAATCCGTTGCATTCTCCAGAAAGACAGAGTAAAGGGCGACAGGACTAAAGTATACGAATGGATAAAAGGGGATTTGGTTTTGTGTTGGACTTGAGGTATATCAGCCTCTGGGGGGCGATTACGCCAAGTAGCGAGTTTACTTTAGTTCCGAACATAGTCTAGGACTAAAGTAAACTCAATGTATATTCCCCGAGAAGCTGGGTATACCTCTCAGTGGGAACATCATTGTATATATATATATATATATATATATATATATATATATATATATATATATATATATATATATATATATATATATATATATATATATATATATATTATTATAGTTTCTAAATATTCGAGGATAAAATAAAACATGAAAAACATATACCAATTATGTAAGCTAAGACTCAGGAAATACCTGGATAAATAATAATTTGGAAATATCGTTGTAGATTTATGAAACAAATTACTGTGAAACATAACGTATAGAAACGCTGGATTGTATCAGGCTTAGGCTGAGTATTTTGATGCAGGATATAAATAACGGCTAACTCCTATAGGAAAAAATATGCCTTCTGCAGTTTCATGTATTCTCGCGTTGATATATGCGTTGTTTCAGGCTCGGTAACACTTTTTGTCTTTTTTGGTTCTGACCACTTGGGCTGGACGGTAGAGCGACGGTCTCGCTTTATGCAGGTCGACGTTTAATCCCACAACCGTCCAAGTGATTGGGCACTTCCCTTCCCCCCCGTCCCATCCCAAATCCTTATCCTGATCCCTTCCCAGTGCTATATAGTCGTAATGACTGGACGCTTTCTCCTGATAGTTCCTTCCTTCCTTCCTTCAGCACGGGAGACATCTCCCGTCACGCAGGGTGCAGCCGGACCTTCACAAATCTCCAGTATCATCTATTGATACTGGAAGTGGCTCAAAAGGGCCACCACTTACGGGCTATTCGTACCCGTGCCACCTTTTGGGTGGCTTAATCTTCATCAATCAATCAATCTTCCTTCAGGCTCGGTACGCGTGGTGGGCGGCGGGGGTGACCTTCGGGTGTTCTGGCATCGTGGGCAGCTTCATGGTCATCTTCCTCCCAGAGACCAACAACCAGCCGCTTCCTGAAACACTGCAAGACGTGGAAGACAGAGCCCGAAGGTCGAGACAACGAGGCGTGGCAAACAAAGCTTTTGAAAATGGAGAAACTGTGATATAAAAAAAATGGAATAAATCACAGAATGAGGTGTTATACATCATGATTATTTCAGTGTTAGGTACAAACAGCATAATATTTTATGATGGTGGTCAAGAGCAGTGATGGTGTAATACGGCAAATATTTGGTTATACTTTAGGAACTCCGTAAACTAGATCTTAGCCTCCTGGTATAAAGACAATAGTATACCATACGACTCATTCATACACATTCATACGCACACACGGATACACCAGAGTCGGGCACAACCTTGACAGCTGACTTCAACCTGAGTAATGTTACCTTCGCAGATGACCTCAATGTGGAGGACGTTACCACCATAGCTGGCCTCAACCTGGAGGACGGAAACGAGAAACGAGTAACACTTAGTGGGTCAGCCAGAGGCTTAGGGCCAGCGCAGGAATATCCCTTAAAAAATAAAATGTTCACTGCATCTATCTTACTTTACTGCATCCATCTGACTGATCACTGCACCCATCTGACTGTTCACTGCATTCATCTGACTGTTCACTGCATTCATCTGACTGTTTACTGCATCCATCTTACTTTACTGCATCCATCTTACTCTTCACTGCACCCATCTGACTGTTCACTGCACCCATCTGACTGTTCACTGCACCCATCTGACTGTTCACTGCACCCATCTGACTGATCACTGCACCCATCTGACTGATCACTGCACCCATCTGACTGTTCACTGCACCCATCTGACTGATCACTGCACCCATCTGACTGATCACTGCACCCATCTGACTGTTCACTGCACCCATCTGACTGATCACTGCACCCATCTGACTGTTCACTGCACCCATCTGACTGTTCACTGCACCCATCTGACTCCTCACTGCATTCATCTGACTGTTCACTGCATTCATCTGACTGTTTACTGCATCCATCTTACTTTACTGCATCCATCTTACTCTTCACTGCATCCATCTGACTGTTCACTGCATCCATCTGACTCCTCACTGCATCCATCTGACTGGGGAGCGTCATACTGCTTCCTAATCTCAACATACAAACAATTCCAAAGCCTAGTACACAATGTTAAACAGCATATCAGCTCTCCAAAAGGAAACGAGTCAGGATAGAAAAGGTCAAACTACTACTTCAATTATTATAAACACCCGTTACTAACACAATGATATTACCCATTTGAAAATACGTTCATAAGAAAAGTTGTAAAATTCCTCTAGAGCCATATTAGAACAAAACAAATACTGCAAAACACACATTCACCTCTGCCGGAAGTTGCATATTTCATTACCTATGCAACTTGGAGATCAAAGTTAAACTCTTTGAAGGGATCAGAAGCACAGGATTTTAATATAAAAATGTCAAACATAATTACTCTAAAATTTGCCTTCAGGTGAATGTAAAATTCCAAAGTATATTATAATAAAAGCCCTAGAAATACTGCCCTTATTATTAGCAAAATAAATAAATATAATTAGACGTAAAAAAAGCTTCTAAGAGGAAATTACAATCCCCCTCGAGGCAATGCAATGTATTTCAGCCCGTCTCCGCATACCCAACGAAGCTGTTTGCTGATAAATTATTTTACTTTGTGTTAAGGTATAGTTCATGGTTCCTATATAACGAATACGTTCTCAAAATTGCCTCCACTGGGCTGCAAGGAGGCACAACTGTACAACGCCTTCTACGATCCCAACGCCTTCTGTGGCAACACCTCGCACGGTATATTCACTGAGACGTTGGCAACACCCAACACCTCGCATGGTATATACACCAAGACATTGGCAAGTAGTGAGATACACAATGTGGTCAACACAGCTCTACGAGACAGTGACCCCTTCACATACACACACGCACAAAGTTCCGCTCCAGAAAGTCATGAGACGCATTTATATCCTTATCCAACAATTTTAATTTACAAGACAACAATATCAGACAATCAAGAGATAAATCAGCGATGTGGCAGACTAGTCAATCTACTATTTCGGCGGCAGAAATAATAGAATCAATGGCGTTAAGTGCACTATTTACTGACATGAAATTGTAAAATGTCCCATTAAGCAACATTAACAATTATCATTGATAAATGAAAATAAAAAATATTCAATCCTGTGAAAATTATTTTCAGTTTTCGCGGCTCCGCAAAAAGTTGCTCAAAATTTAAATTTAATAGATGCAACAATAGGAAGTAAATTATATACGCTTCAAATCTTTTAGTCGATATCAAGTATCTGCAACAAGAAATAAATCATTAGCTGTGGCAGTTATTGCGCATAGTAGCACCAGCCAGCCAACATTCTGCCGAAGTCTCCATAAATCGTCGCTGTAAAAGAAAATTTCTTCAGATACACGTAAGATAATTTTAATACCTCTGGGAGTCATTCTAATGTTGAAACTGTCGTTCTCAAATTGCAATTATACTATCACTAATAAACTTGATTAAAATTGTTGGGTAATGGGCGTTTAGACAGCCTATAGTTGTTTAAGCCTCCTCGTTGCCGTGCTTGACCCAAACTCTCGTACCGCATACGTAATACGAATTAATATATGGAAACTTTGCCTTGCTGACTCTTACGGCTCAGTATATTCTATAATTAAATAGTCCATTCGTTTGGCGTTGGGCTCAAGGCCTATCAACCGCGGGTTGGGAATGGGGAAGGGTTATTGATGCCACCTCAAAAGTTTACTAACTATCCAGCAAAAACACTCTAGCCCTGAATGTAGCCTCCTGAAACTAAAATAAACTGAACATGGGCGCAGAGAAATTAAGACCACCGTTTTGATTTTGATTGTTGCTGCTGGAGGCGGCTAGTTCCTGACTTGTGAATCTTAGCTTCCAATAGATTTATATTATTATAATGATTACATTGCGGCCTTTATTTGTAAAATATATTTACAAATTGCCCTTAATTATGTATTATTAGTATTATAAGTGCAGATTGTCCTTAAGGAACATAACCTATTTCATAATATAATCTCTTTACAAAAAGCATAATTGACGACGTTTGACGACGGTCAAACTACTCAAGCAGCCTTCACGGAAGGACCCGTTAGTCTGGCGTATTCCTGAGCTGCGGTCGTGTTGAGGCTCAGGAATTCATCTCCTGATGAGTAGAAGAAATTTGTAGCATGTGCAAAATTAGCATATTGGAAAAAAACGCGATGATTTCAATGATGATGTAGTTGTGGTACGGACAGACTATGACACACCCCGCTGTGTACACTGAATGTTGTTGTGATAAGAGCCACAGTATCCTGCTGTGTACACTGAATGTTGTTGTGATAAGAGCCACAGTATCCTGCTGTGTACACTGAATATTGTTGTGATAAGAGCCACAGTATCCTGCTGTGTACACTGAATGTTGTTGTGATAAGAGCCACAGTATCCTGCTGTGTACACTGAATGTTGTTGTGATAAGAGCAACAGTATCCCGCTGTGTACACTGAATGTTACAGTGGTATAGACAGACCATAAAACACCCGCTGTGTACACTGTAGCTCGCTCTCCGAGCACTAAACAGTGAGTACAAAGGCGAGTTTATATCAAATATTTGGATAGCCAGTGTTATTTTGGGTTCCATTTAGTTCAGCGTTCGTAACAAATTATGAGCTGGTGTTGTGTTCAGTAATGCCCAACTGATCATGTGTATTTTGTAATGCAAATGTGCAAATATATCTGCCATATTTGCTAATTACTGTTGATCTCATTAAGCTCTGAATAATGATGCAACTCTATGTTCATTTTAAAACGGAGTTTAAAAGAACATTTGTATCATTCTGGTGCATTTGAACCACCTGATGCAAGACAAGAGTGGAGGGAGGGGGGGGGGTGATAACAGCTGAAGGGCCTGGATAACAGTTTCAATTATATATATATATATATATATATATATATATATATATATATATATATATATATATATATATATATATATATATATATATATATATATATATATATAGCCAGGGGGTCTCTCAGAATATTTATTATTACTAAGGACTAAAAATTCAAAAGTCTAAAGGATATACACCAACTATTTCACACTTGAATCCATGAAAATTGCATTGGGGTCTTTAAAAATGCCAATATTTCTTACAACATTTAACATAAGCAAACGACCAGCCTATGTCCGTCACGTCCCACTGACCATTTACCCTGCATAGTTGGGTGAGGCTAGCCGCTAGCGTCTGAACAAACGCTAGGGGCTAGCTGCGGCAAACCATGGACAAACAGACGTTCTTTCTTATAGATATATTGTAGATTGATTTGCTTATTATTTCAGCAAAAAAAAAATGTATATTGTGCGTTAGTAAAATGTTTTTCCCTTCTAACTGCTGGAGCACCAGTCCGGCTATTTCAAGGCCTGTCAATTCTGCTGCCAGACGTATCCTCGTAGGTCGACCCATATGCCAGACGTAGCATGAAAACTTTGCATATTGACGTGTGGTTGTGAGGGGTGGAGGCGGCGACGCTGCCTTACAATGGCGGCCGTCAGGGCGATAATGTGCCGTGGCTAGAAGTGGAAAACTTTCATCTGAAACGCTGTCCTTTCTGCATGCATTATGAATAACCGGCCCGCGCGTCGCAGTGTTTGCCCGTCGGCTTTCCTTCTAATTTTTATTTAAAGAGAATTCTAACTTGATGACCCAGTTAATGCATCTATGTGTATTCAAATATTTGAATAAATAATATCTGCGCACAATTTTGAATGATAATAAACTGGATAACGTCCGTGGCGACCGTCCAAGCCAAGGCCACGTGAAGTTATCCGGACACATCCTTTTCCGCCCTGTCCAAATTGATCCTAATATGATGCTACACGCTGATTGGCGATGCTGCGGATCACGAAGTGTGACCTGATCCAATTAGGACCAATCAAAGCAGGCGATATAAGCCAGGCGGATGAGTGGGCCGTCAAACAACCAATCAGTAATTGGTGATGATTGACTGACGTGGGTGTCAACACAAGTCTCGCAAGAAATTCGTCAGCGTCTCGAGCTGTAATGAATTGGGGCCAGATCCACGAAGCGACTTGAGAATGGTCCAGGACGGACCGAAACGTCGTCGTCCCTTCACCTTCTAGTGTGTGGTCTGGTCAACATACTATAGCCACGTTATTGTGACTCATCGCCTGCATCCACGAAGCAGTTACGCAAGCACTTACGAACCTCTCCATCTCTTCTAAATCTTTGGCGGCTTTGTTTACAATTATTAAACAGTTAATGAGCTCCGAAGCACCAGGAGGCTGTTTATAGCAATAACAACAGTTGATTGGCAAGTTTTCAGGCTTGTAAACTGTTTAATAAATGTAACCAAAGCCGTCAAAGATTAAGGAAAGATGTACACGTTCGTAAGTACTTGCGTAACTACTTCGTGAATCTGGCCCTTGGCTTACAGTAAGTGTTTCATGATACAGGGAATACTCTCTTATAAGGAGCCCACCTGATTTTGCAATTATTTTTCTGATAAGTAATTATCCAAATCGAGTCTGGTTCCACGTTGACAGGGTCACCATGGCACCGTCACCATGGCAACATCACCATGGCACCGTCACCATGGCATCATCACCAGAATAGCATCCCCATGGCAAGATCATCACCATAACATCACTAGAACAATACCCTCATCACCATAACAATATCACTTTAGCAAGTCCTATAACAACATTGCTAAAGTAGCATCACCATAACCAGGTCACCATAACCAGATCACCATAACCAGATCACCATAACCAGATCACCATAACCAGATCACCATAACCAGATCACCATAACCAGGTCACCATAACCAGATCACCATAACCAGGTCACCATAACCAGATCACCATAACCAGGTCACCATAACCAGATCACCATAACCAGATCACCATAACCAGGTCACCATAACCAGATCACCATAACCAGATCACCATAACCAGGTCACCATAACCAGGTCACCATAACCAGATCAGCATAACCAGGTCACCATAACCAGATAACCATAACCAGGTCACCATAACCAGATCACCATAACCAGGTCACCATAACCAGATCACCATAACCAGATCACCATAACCAGATCACAATGACGAAACAAGAAATCATCGATAAACTTATTTTTAAAAATTGCGATGTTCTTCCTGTTGAATTTGAAGCAAAAATAATAATTCTCGGTTAGCTACTAGAGAAAAGTCTTGTAAAGGAAAACGTACAAGAGAAAAGTATTGAAAAGGAAAATGGACAAAAGAAATGTCCAGAAAAGGGAAACGGACAGGATAACAGTCTTGAAAAGGAAATTGGAGGAGAAAAGTCACCGTGAAAAGAAAAGCAAAAAGAAAGAAAGGACGTCTTGAAAAGGATAACGAACACGGGAAAAGTCTTGAAAATGGAAATGGTAGAGAAAAGTCTTCGAAAGGAAAATGCCCAAGACAAATCTTGAAAAGGAAAACGGGTAAGAGAAA